GTAATCTCTACAGGTAAAAAACATTTACAATTTCAAAGAAGATCAATTTAAGTAGCCTTCAACATTCTTAGAAAGTCTCGGTCACTGAGGCATTCAGTTATTGGATAATCGCTAAGGGTTCGCTCATTTGCATTTTATGATCTAATCCCCAAATCTATCTACAATTTATTGTATCTTAACAGCAGGTAAACGGCTAATAGTTTTGTTCCTAATTTAGGGATTTTCCAAAATCTCCCAGTTTATTGAATTAGGTACCTAAACATTTCTATTTGATGCTCAGATTTGTAAATCATTTTTGTTTTGATATTCAAAGCGTAAATTCTCGTACGTAACAAAAAGGAAGATTGTGATTTTATAATGCCTAAAACAACCAGTGCTTCAACTTGGATTAAACCTTATAAAGAGCTGTCTATGGATATGGGAAAAATCTACTGTTAAGTATGTGGCAAAATTGTAAGTATCTAATATTTTCTATTAAATATCTAATATTTCATACATATTGGGTGTTTCCAAATGACACTTACAACGTTTGACTGTAGATACTTCTCGAAAAATTGAACAAAACGATATAGTTAATGAGGGGTCAAACTTATTTACTTTTCGAGATACAGGGTGTTAAAATTAAAAAAAATTAAATTCTTTTAGTAAATAACAACAATAACTTTAAAACCAATAAACGTATTTACTTGAAATTTAGTACTCGTAGGTTGTTTTTAAATGAAAAATAGCTTCCTTTAGTGAGATTGTCCATTTTACAATACAATGGTGTGTATTTAGAAAAATTTTTCACCTTTACTTTTTTTTATGAAGTCGGCTATTCTAAAACACAATTATTTTTATTGTAATTGAATTAACAAAAAAAAAACTTTTGTTGAATTTTAAAATAAGTTATATGATGTACTAATGGTTAGTAACAAAAACTAATTTGTGGATTAATACTGCATTTAAAACACTTAGCGAGTGTTTTTTTTTTCCAAACCAGTTATTTGATTAACCAAAAACACCTTGTATATTTTTATATTTTAAAGGTTGGGTTAAAATAAAAGTTTTTATTTTTATTTATAGATAGCATGTGAGAAGAAATTTCAGATAGACCAACATGTGAGAACTGCTTCACACATTGCAAAAAAAGGAAAAATAGGAGGAAAACATCAAACTTCAATGGCTAAATGTTTCCAATCTACTTCAAAAAAATTAGATGAGCAAGAAACTTTTAATGAAGACTTGTGTCGCGCATTAGTGTCTGCAAACATAGCGCTTTCAAAATTAGCAAATGTAAATTTTAGTTCGTTTCTAAAAAAATATTGCAAACTTACCTAATGATCCAAGTGATCGGTCTCTAAGAAGAAATAATGTGAACGAGCTATACTCGTCGGTGTTAATTAATATTAAGGAAGAAATTGCAGATAATTATTTTTACATATCTGTAGACGAAACCACTGATTCCTCAGGAAAGTATATTGCTCATTTATTGATTGGTGTTTTTAAAGAAGATACCTTACCAAAATCTCATCTTATTTCATGCCAGCAACTTGAGAAAACAAATGCTTTAACAATTTCGCGTTTTATACAAGAAACATTAGCAACTTTTTTTCTTCCGACAACTATTCTTTCTAACAAATTACTGCTTATTTTATCGGATGCTGCTCTTTATATGGTGAAAGCAGGACAAAATTTAAAAATATTTTTCCCAGATTTAATACATGTTACTTGTGTAGCGCATGGATTAAACAGAGTTGCAGAGGAAATACGAAAAAAGTTTCCTCTTGTAAATACCATGATATCCAGTGTCAAAAAAGTATTTCTTAAATCTCCTATAAGAATTCAACTTTATAAAGAAATGCTACCTAACATTCCTCTTCCACTACAACCTATTTTAACGCGATGGGGAACATGGTTAGAAGCAGCTAATTTTTATGCAGATCATTTTGTTAAAATAAAGAACATAATTGATACGTTAACAGATGAAAGTTCCCAATCTCTTTTGGATTCTAAACAAACTTTTCAGAGTAACTTGCTTCAACAAGAACTTTCATTTATAAAATCAAATTTTAGGTTTGTTCAAAAAACAATTACTCAGTTAGAATCACCAAAACTGTCATTGTTCGAAAGTACAGCATTAATAAAAGAATTTGCGTCATGTTGTCGGAACGTTAGAGGTAATATTGGAAAAGATATTTTAAAAAAATTTGAAGCTACTATGGAAAAAAATAAAGGTTACCATATTCTTTCTGAAGTATTCAGTGTTCTAGCTGGAAATATTTCGGAAACAATTAATTTAGAACCAAATGTTTTGGTTAGTTTGAAAAATGCTCCCGTTACATCAGTCGATGTTGAACGAAGTTTTTTCATATATAAATATATGTACTCAGACAGAAGCCACAAGTTTTTGTTAGAAAATTTTGAACACCACTTGGTCATTTATTGTTACCATAATTCTAAATAAGTTTATTCATACTTAAAAATGATGTAGTTACTTAAAATAAATGTAAATCTTAATGAATAGTAGGAAATATTTAGTTTTGTACACTTTTTGTTTAAATAAAATTGTTAATATTTTACGATTTTTTTATTTATTTGTATGCATATTTTGTAAAATATTTGCATATTTTCGGGTAAACACGTGCATATTTATGCGCATATTTTCTACATTTTTATTTGCATATTTGCCGAAGTCTAATGATAAATAATGGTGCTGATAATGTTTACAGACCAATGAAAAGGGAGAAAAGACACACCACCTTTGTTAGTGTTTTTTTTTTATTTTTTCAATAAAATACTTTTAACACCAAATGTAAAACTTTTCATTTCTAGAATTTAATATTACCTGCAAGTGTAACTGATAAATAAATTAAGATTTATCTGAAAAATTTTATAGATTCTTCTCCTTGTAGTTCCTTCTATTATCGGAGGTTGGCGATAATCACAGCTATCTGTACCTTATTGGCGGCTGCTCTAAAAAGATCTACTGAGCTGCAACTATAAAGGATTTTTCACTTAAGAAGACCGCTATGCAACTAAATGCTGGTAAGGTAATTACTAGCGGACCAGATAAGCGGCGATATATTTTACACTACCTTTATGAATAACATTTTACTGCTCTGTTGTTTCAATCAGCACTGCTCAACAAGCTATCGTTTCTTGCTTTATAATTTTATTGCAATGTTATTTTTTTAAATTCCTTCTGGCGAATCGTATAATTTAAGTTTACACAATAATCAAAGTTATGCATTTACATATATACATCATTTTATTTGAAAAATAAGGAGTAAATACCATGTGTCATAATAATTGTAATCTCAGGAAAAAAGACAGTTAAGATTTTATACACACTTAAAAAATTTGTTTAGTAATGTATTTCCTAAATCCACACAATCGTTGAAAAATGATTCATGCTGTTTAAAATATCTTTCTGTTAACGACCACTGTCATCGACAAAGTAAATCAAATTCAAACGTCATCATATTTCTCTTCTGTTTATCGTTAAAAATTAATTAATGGTCGTGGGTTGTATTTTTGTGTTTTAATAATTTAACAAAATACATAATCAGCAAAATCCTTATTTAAAACATGCGAACGGTTTTTGCAATCCTGCTAGTGAAATATCAGACAGTGAAAAGGACAAACCGTTTGCTAAAAAGAAGAAACAAAAAAGTGTTTCGGGAATTCAATTCAAACTTTGTGGTGTGTTTTAGTTAAATGATAAAGTACCTTTAGTCTAATTACTGGACTGCATACTCCCAATAGCTTTGGTATTAATTACTGGACTATACGTGTTTAAACATTTTGTTTTGCTGAAAACTCGGAAGTGATTTAGTGCCAATTTGTTTCAAGGTTATATTTAATACAGTGTCTGCAAAAAGTAAAATCTTGGATGTATTTTATTCAAATTTGGACATACCAGCAACTTGGCAAGTATTTTCCAATTTAACTGCATGCAAAACCATTCGTATAATTTTTATTACTCTACGCAAAATAGAGACTTATAGAGCCTTGATGAACATTTGATGTCGACAAATAATTTCGATTATTCGAAATATTCCGTCCCACTTCTTTTAACCGCCCTGTATATACATATTATATTCATTGTATTTGCCTTTGATACAGTAAAATCCAGTATTATTACTGAACATAAAATACAAGAAATTAAATATTTTTACTTTTCAAGCCACCGAAATTAAATATTAAAGCTCCACTGTTTGAGGCCCACTGATCATATCTTAATTACATATCGGCCGTCATAGGGTAAAAGGAGTTTACCACTCTCTTAGGTTTCTGAGCCAGGAAATTCTTTGTCTTCCTATGGATCTTTTACCTCTGATTTTAACTTGCATTATGAGCCCTAATATCTCATATTTCGCACCTCTGGTAATGTGGCCTAAATATTCCAGCTTTCTTGTATTTTATAGATGAAGTCCCCAAATTTACAATTTAAGTTTTCTTATAAAAATATCAGACGGACTTTCATGGTTTAAGCCGTGGCTCTTCATTTATGATTTATCATTTCAAAATTTTAAATAAAGATATTAATTAAAAATAAATCAAAATGATGCGCAAAAGTAAAAAAACATAAAAAATGCATAATAACTCAAAAGATATTTAAATATGATTGTTAAATCTGAAACAATACGACCTCGTTTAAATAAATTAATAATCTAATATGAAAACATATTCTTACAAGATTATGATTATTAATAGAAAAATCATTATTAGGTATCTTTGAGCGTTTTCAAAAACGCAAAATATTAGCAATAGCGCATTTTAAAGTAAAAAAAATATAAATAACTATTTTATCGTTTCTTGAACTCGCTGTAGCAAACAACATTGCATTCTAATCCACCTGCAGATATTTAGGAAACAATTTATAAAGAATAGAATGTAACATTATTAAAACACCTTCGCCAAAACGGTTTGTTTTGGTTAAAATTGATCTGCTCATTGACTGCTTCGAACAAAGGAGAAATGGTAAAGTATATAAGTCACGTTGGAGCGGCTATTGCGTTTATTTCTGCGGTTTTGTTACTATAGTGATTTGTGCAGTGTTACTACCATGACTTTGACAATCAAATTAGTGAGTACACGATTTTTACTATGTTAATAATTTATACAAATTACTATATTTTTAGAATTATATTTTTGTCGAATCACTTGCACATCAGTTATCGCAAAAGGTGGAAAAATATTACAATAATTGTACAAAACATCTTTAACATTATCGAAATATATTATTTATGTACCTTGTATTTTACAACTTTTTGAATAAGGGATTATTTTATTTATTTTGTTTCAAAGAAATTAAAAACGATTATAAATTGCGATACTATTACTTCTTGGCTAGGTAAACCGTTAATGAACTTTCCCCCTTTCTTGACTCGTAGGCTTTTTTGGGATATACAGTGTGTTAGTAAATAAGTGCGATAAACTGTAAAGGCTTATTCTGCATGAAAAAGTATTGGCAGTTTCCTATATAAACGTGTGTATTAAAATGTTTCATTTTCGGAGGTACAAGGTGTTAAAATTTTTCTTACAAACTGATTTATTGATTTGTTGCTCTGAAACCGGTTGAGATATACAAGTGAAATTGGTGGGTTTTAATATGTAGTTATTGTGCATTTTTTGAGATAAAATTTAGAATCTTATATTTACCATTCTTTTTTCATTCAATTTTTTTTGAATATGCAAAAGAAAAGAATAGCACGCCACTGAATTATTTCAAATTAAAAATTATTTTTGAATTGTTCGTTCCATTTGTGAGTAAAAACCTCTCTTTAATTTTTTATATCATGAGCCGATTTAGCAAAAAAGATCTGAACGCATATTTTTCAAACGCAATAGAACTTCGTGCGACATCAATCAAGGAAAATGACAAAATACTACAACCAATTAGGCTAAGAGTTGAATCCTGTGTAACGTTTAAGCGAGATCATTTTGAACCTGTAGCTTTAGGCCTATTTAAAATTTTATTAGTGATACTTTCTGTTATTGTTCTTGCTTAATGTTACTGTATTGTATAATTTTTAAGAATGTAGTAAGGAAATGAAAAATATGGGTTTAAATGTTTTACTTTTTGCATAAAAAAGGCACCTCTTATGAAAAAAAAAAGAAAAAAAATTTTTGACACAAATTGAACGAAGAATTAAAAAATTATTTTTAATTTCAAATATTTCAGTAGCGTACCATTTTTGTTTTTTTTTTAATAAAGACCAATACATGTATGCGCGCCAATGATAAAAATGAAATACTTAATTTTATTTATGTCAACAAATGCACAATAAGGAGCTCTTAAAGCTCACCAAATTTTATTTGTATATCTCAACGGGTTTTAAAGCAATAAATAAATCGCCAGTTTATGAGAAAAATTTCGATACACCTTATCGGAAAACGAAGCATTTTGGGACATAGATTTATTTAGCAAACTATGCTGAATCATCTCCTAAAGTTTGTCTTACTTATTTATTAACACCTTGTATAAGCCAAGCACATTTTCATGCTACTTTTTTTAAATCAATTATAAAATACCGAACTAGAATCCAGAATACCTACTTCAAACCCTACAAAATGATGTGTGGCTTCCATTTTAAAATACTTACTTAAAATTTACTTTAAAATCTTTTATTCTACTTATTCTATTCCATTCATAATTCCTCTTGTTTATCTTTTTTTACACATGTTTGTCTTGAAACGATTTTTATTGCCATGATTATTTTATATTCATTATTTGTAACTTGCTCAACGTATTCCTCTATTTCTAATTTCTTCTAAAAAGCTAGGATTTTTAGGTTTTTAAACCACACTTGTGAAGTTCTACTTCTATACTTCTCTCTTTCTCTCTAGAGAATAAAAATCTTCCTTTTGTAAATATATTTAATATTTAATAATATTATTATTATTTTTCCATTCTGTTTAGATTTTGAGTCTCGTTAGGTATGTTAAATTATAAATTAAAACTTGTAAATATTTCAAGAAAGTTCAAATCTGTACTTATATACACAACAAACAATAATTAAATTTTGTATCTGTCAATGGCAGACAAATTGACAGTTGTATCACGAAACAATATTTTTATTTTATCAATATTATTATCATGGTAAATTAAACATATGCGTAAGTAAGTTACGTACATTGTCGTTTTTAAGTACTTATGAATATTACATTTTAATTTATATTGTATTATTATATTGAATTATGTTGCAGTGTATTGTATTTATTTTTATATTATTAACAAAATAAACAATGAATTTTACTGCAGAGTATGTGTAAAAAAATTGTTTTGCATTCAACTGCTTCCATACATATATGAAAATAAAGATATATATTTTCATCGACATATTGATTCAATCCTTCATTTACTATACACCTATTACAGACCAAATAATGTTTATATGCAGCAAATGATGCACCATATACCTAGATACCTAATTCTGTTTCTCTTTTTGCTCTTTCTTACCTATAGCATTACATATGTAATGATTGTGCAGATTGAGTCCCATAATTTGCAGATTTGGCACTTCTTTTTTAAAATTTTTAAAAGCTTTGATTTATTTTATGATTTTGTGGACAAATATATGAGAAGGAAGTGTAAGTTTGATCTTGAGTGAAGGGTATTTGTTTCTTCGACAGAATTTGCATCAAATAACTAATAGCAACAAGTTATTCTCTAGTGAAGCAGTATCTAGATTGGTACATAGGTTAATAGCATCTTGAAAGTGAACCAATACATCTACTTTGTTCAGATGATTTCGTAAATTTTAGATTAACCCTCAGTTTCTCTTATTTTAAACATAGGTAATTTGTTGACTTATATGCTGAATAACATTTGAGTTGGAAAGAATTTTTGGCCCCCTTCAGGTTTTCTTATTTCTTAGTAAATTACAAACATCCTCTACTTCTTTATGTTCCATTCCTTTTAGAGATTGGATATCATTAAGGCTATTCTAGCTTTATTTACAGTTATTCCAAATAGTTGGTTTATCTTCTTCTTCTTTAAGTGCCCTGTCCTCCAAGAATATTGTCTATCAGGTGCATGGTCTTTGTCCACAGCGAACCTTAATACTGCCGTGATGCTTAAAATCATTGGCGGAGATTCTTGTACCACGATGTTTTTCATTGTCCAGGAACAGGTTTTCCTTCGATTTGTACATGTTGTAATTAATTTGGAATTTTTCATCACGTTCTCATTTCGATGGTATTTAAAAACTACCTTTATTTATTAAGACGCTGTAAAAGTACTACATTCGACACTATGTCTACCTATGATATCCTTAAACATTCGGTGGTACGCTTTCATCTCGAAAGTCTCAATTAGTTTATACACTATTTCAGTAAAAGTTCCTCCATGCTTCCATTCGATATAGCAAAATTCTGAAGACATAACAACTTAATAACCGCATTCTTAAGGCATACTCTTTTGATTCATGACTTTTGCATCTTTTTGAATGATGTTCTGGCTTGCTGCTTTGCTTTTAATTTCCTAAAATAAATCCCACTTTTTATTTACCCAAAAGCCCAAATATTTGTATGATTAAACACTCTTCACTATTTCTCCATCTGTCCTGATATCAGTTAGATTTTTCACTATATTTTTGTTTTTGCTGACTACGATATGTTACTGCTGATAGAATTACCTGTAAATCATCATCAAAACTGTGTCATCAGCATACCTTAAGTTGTTGATTAGTACTCCGCAACTGGAAATTATACCTTCTGTTCTGTGTTTTACAGCTTCTTCGAAAACCTTTTCTGTATATAAATTAAACAAAAGTGGAGAGAGCATATACGCCTATCGAAGTCCTCTGATAATGGGAACTTCTTTGGACAACTGATATGTAATTCTAATGTCAACTGTCTAATACCAGTACAAATCAACTATTATCTGAATGTTTCGTGCCATCAGGCTATGTCATTCAAAATAGTATAATGTCTTTATTAATTCTAATTTATTGTCTTTATTATTTATTAAAGGTTCTATACTTATAACACTCAAAAATTTATTAAAGTCTTTATTACCACTAATTTATTTTACACTTAATTATTATATACTTTATCTACATTTTAATACGTGCGATACAATTCAAAACGCGGCGCGATCTCCAAAAACTAACTGTCCCTTTACAACAGAATTCCTTCTTTAAATATAAAACTCCGTTAGTTTCTGAATCCCCTAGAAGCAGACATGAATTTACTGGATCATTGGGGAAGACTGGTTGTGGCGGTGTTGGCAAGAATTGCCTCGAATTAACGAAAACTCGGGCTGGTTTTTTTATCGGAGGGGGACCCATCGGTTATTACCTGCGTCTTCGCCGGCCGGTGCGTGATCTAGAAAATACTTGAATAGAAAAGAATTAGTCATAATATATTTACAGTTTTATACGCCATAATATTTATTATCGTAACAATAGCAATTAATTTCTCGTATTTAATAGTGTCAAATTATTTCTTGTATTCGACAAAGCAGGCATACACATCATCATTTAAATCTTAATATTTCTGTATCAGAATCTGGTTGCCAAATAACGTCTCTTTTGTCTCTCTACAAAATATACATAACGTCTCTCTAAAATGTTTCTTTTTACATCTGGTATAAATTATGGAGTAAATAATTTTCAGTAAACTATAGTACATAGCTCATTAAACTAATTATTATGTACTAGAATGTGGTCCGATTCTAACCCAACAATATTCTAGAACTTATGATGTTCTACTAAAATGCTTTGCTTTTGTTACACTAAAAACGTTCTATGCAGATTTATTTTGATTTTATAGATGCAAATGAAAAATACAAAATAAATAAAACGTTTTAAGATGCACAAAAGTGCATCTTTTTAGTTTTAGTTTTAGTTTTAGAAATGTACTGAAACTACCCTGTACTACTTATTAAAATATTGTAGACAACAGAATTTTTGTTAGTCTGCTAGAGACAGACAAATAGAGTTTGTAATACTTGCCCTTAGCCTTCTTACAGTGGAGAAGATTTAATAGGAGGATGCTAGGTATATCATCTGATACATCAAATATGAGGTGCCTTCTTATATTTCATGAATGCTGTAGCGTGTACAAGTTCTATCATACTTA